TCAATACGGATTCTAGCTACCACTGATTTCTGTACTGCTATCTATAGCAGTTGTTCTCAGGGAAGCACCCTGGACAGCTGACTGTTGGTTTTTGTTCTTTCCAAACTCTATCACCAATATTTTTCCATGGAGTTTATATCCATTTATTTGATGAACTGCTTGCCATGCTATGTCTTTATCTGGAAAAAATAAGAAAAATATATCGAATTACATAGAGCTTAATCACTTGATTATTATTACAAGTTTAATTAGGGCTGGTATGCTATAAAATCATACTAATGTTACATGTTTTTGTCATGTCTATAACCCCCAATTTGTATTTGCAAGCAAGATTAAAATAATGGGTAGTAATAATAATAATAATAATGACAAAAGGCCCTAAAAATATGCATTTGATTCAAAGATATAGAAGAGATAAGGATACACAGGGAGTTAACTGAAGAAATTTTAAGTTAAACACAACTATAAACATGCCTCTATCTTAGATTATATACATGAAAAACAAATATTTCAAAATTGTTATACAAACAAAAGTTATGACATTATTGAGCATACTTAGCTACTTTGTTTCTTTTAGAGGGAAAGTGGTTGTGGGAATTCTTATTAGGATAATGTAGGGAGACACCATAACCATGCCTCCTAAGGGCTGGCTACAGGTGTGCCTGATCACGCCTGTCAAGGCATGGTCAAGGTGAGGTCAGCATGACAGGGAATGGGCTCTTAAGGGACCACAAGCACATGGGAGCTCCATCTTCTTCTCCTTCCCCTTTTCCGTGGCCCTTCTCTCTGGCTTGCTTCTGGCTGGTGTTTATCTGAATAAAAAGATATCTTAACCTTACAGACTATGGCTTGTCCTCGCTCTCGATATACCTGGCGCCGTGTTCAGGTTGGACACCCCTTTCAGATGACTTTAGGGTTTAGCTGAAATAGACATAGTTAGGATATGCAATAGCAGATTATTGTATCTTCTTGAATTTCACCTTCATGATTGATTGTTAATTTTGGATATTTTACACTATTAAGTTTTAATCCTCTTTTAGACTAACAGGGGAATTGTAGCCTCCTAAGGGCTGGCTACAGGTGTGCCTGATCACGCCTGTCAAGGCATGGTCAAGGTGAGGTCAGCATGACAGGGAATGGGCTCTTAAGGGACCACAAGCACATGGGAGCTCCATCTTCTTCTTCTCCTTCCCCTTTTCCGTGGCCCTTCTCTCTGGCTTGCTTCTGGCTGGTGTTTATCTGAATAAAAAGATATCTTAACCTTACAGACTATGGCTTGTCCTCGCTCTCGATATACCTGGCGCCGTGTTCAGGTTGGACACCCCTTTCAGATGACTTTAGGGTTTAGCTGAAATAGACATAGTTAGGATATGCAATAGCAGATTATTGTATCTTCTTGTATTTCACCTTTATGATTGATTGTTAATTTTGGATATTTTACACTATTAAGTTTTAATCCTCTTTAGACTAACAGGGGAATTATAGGGAGACACCGTAACCACGCCTCCTAAGGGCTGGCTACAGGTGTGCCTAACCACACCTATCAAGGCATGGTCAAGGTGAGGTCAGGATGACATGGAATGGGCTCTTAAGGGACCACGAGCACATGGGAGCTCCTTCTTCTTCTTCTCCTTCCCCTTCTCCCTGGCCCTTCTCTCTGGCTTGCATTTGGCTGGTGTTCATCTGAATAAAAAGATATCTTAACCTTATAGACTATGGATTGTCCTTGCTCTCGATATAGCATAATGAACTTCTCTTGCTGACAGACAAAAAAGTTTGTGTATGAGAATATATAATGTATAGCAGGAATATTCAACATATGGGTCTCAGAGACTGTGTGTAAGAAATAAGGAGGGGGTAGACTTTGGACAAGAGTCTGTGGAATTATAAGTAGGCAATACTGAGATCATTTTGTCTCAGATATACCACAAAGTTTCAGGTGAGTATTATAGCTGTTAGTGAAATAGACATAGTTAGGATATGCAATAGCAGATTATTGTATCTTCTTGAATTTCACCTTCATGATTGTTAATTTTGGATAGTTTACTGAGATAAATTTTAATCCTCTTTTAGACTAAAAGGGGAATCGTGGGGGACAGTAAGCCATGCCTGTTAGAAGCTGGCTGGGGTTCTTTGTATTTCACTGCCCAGCCAGCCTGGCCATATCAATCAACTCTCAGTTCAGTGAGAAAATTAAGGTGGAAGAGCAAGTGAGGAAGATAATATAGTTAGCTTCTGGCCTCCACATGCACGTCCATACATGTGCACACACACATACTCACACACACACATTGTTCACTTCAAAAGACTGAAAACCAATGGTACGAAGAATTTACAAACCTTCAGTGAGATAGAAAAGATAGTACAAGGTCATATGAAAGCAATGGAAAGAAGGTCAGCAGTTTTCATGTGTAAATCACTTACCCACACAAAAATTAGCAGAGCATTAAAATAACAATTTAGAGGTAACAAAAGATACAGATATTATCTATCTTCTTCCCACAAAAGACATAGTGGCTAACTTACTATTGAAATCAAAATTACTGTATTAGTCTTGCAGTTAGATTAGAACACAAGCCATGTACTGATATGCAAGTGATATTTGAAAGAATGTATCATCTTTCAATAATTATGAATTGGTAATGAATTAATTAATTAGCTTAAAATCACTTAGTCCTAAAGGAATAGGGCTTCTGAGTATATGTCTTCTGATAACAATTCCAATATATTAACTATGAATAATTCTATTATAATATAGAGCAGAAATAGTATTGTCAATAAAAAGAAAATAAATATTGGTAGGGTAGAAAGGAATTGCCAAAAATTGGGAGACGGAGGACAGCGGGGTAAGGTGGTTATGCAGCATCCATAGAGAGGAGAAAGTAAGTACTGGAAGGAAGATCTGGGAATGCAGGAAATGTATTTTCCTTATCAGCCCCTTTCATGTGCTAAGGCTGTATCTAACTCAGCGAGGTAATAGGTAGTCTCATATGAACTGATACTGCAATGGAGTGATTATCTAGATGAAGTTACTTACTGGGAAAGGTGATGAAAGCCTGTCCCCTCATGCGTCCACTCATGATTTGAAACTGAATGGGTGGTCCTTTTTTCTCCTGGAACCGAGCGAATAATGAGATAAGGTCTCTTTCTTTCACCCGAGGACTAAGGTTCTTCAAGTATAGCACCTAATACAAATTGAAAAGTGACAAAAATATCACAGAAAGAAAGCAACTCTTTCATTATGGCTTGAATTACTTTCAGATGGGAGACTGAAGATTCATCTGATGTTATTCTCTCTAGTAAACTCTAAAACAACAAGTCCTGAAACCAACAATGTCAGAAAGAACTCAGAAAGAAGGGAATAGCAACAATGTTCTGGAAGATACAAAATAAATAGCGAGTAGGAACTAAGCACACCAAATAGGCTCACTAGCAAATGCTTTGGGCAGAAAATCCAAGCACACAGTGAATCTTCTTTAAAAGTCTTCAAAAGTCAGATGTGGGCTAGGGAGGTGGCTCAGTGGATACAAGTGCTGCACAAACCTGATTTGACATCCTTGTAAAAGGCTGGGTGGATCCCAGGGTTTGCTTCCCAGCCAGTCTAGCTAGTTAGCGATTTCTAAACTCAGTGAGCCCCTATTTTAAAAAGTAAGGTAGAGAGCAACAGAGGAAGACATGTGACACTGAACTCTGGCCTCTATGTATGCACATACACACACACACACACACACACACACACACACACACACACCCTCACATATATATGACAAATATAAAAGCTTTCAAAGTTGGCACAGTGATGAAAACCTATAGTTCTACCAGCAAGGAAGGCTGAGTTGGGACAAGAGTCCACTCTGGACAACATAGTGACATCCTGTCTAAAAATCAAATAAATATACAAAAAAGAAAAAAATTAATGCATGCACAAAACATTCAAGAATTGATAGCTTCAGGTGGCTCTGGAAATAGATGTGATTAGATAGGGTTGAATGAGGATGGTAAGTTGAAAGCTGTTGTAAACTGAAATTAGATCTTTACCCTCTCTGCAACTTTAGTACTAGGTGAGGGCAACTCACCAATCCTGGCAGAATATTGAAGGTTGATTGTCAGTAAATTTGGAATGTCTCATATAGTTGAGGTCAAGAGTAGTGCATTTTGAAAGCAAGGAGACTGAAAGAATGCCTACCAAATACTGGGAACACCCATGATCTGACTACCATTCCTCTACTAATACTGGTAGCTCCTTTACAAGAAAGCACAGGGAACAGTCTCCTGCAGGGGAACTAATCCCCAAGAAAGATCAAAATACTGACTTGGAATAGGGGAGTTCTCCAACAGATGATCCAGCCAGATCATCTGGTTCATTGTTATTACTGTTTTGTTTCTGTCATCTGGAGACAGAGACTGACTATATAACCCAGGCTGGCCTAGAACTCACAATCTTCCCGCTTCAGCCTTCTAAGTGCTGGGATTATAAAATATCACCTTGAATTCAAAGTACACAAGGCCATGATCTCAGAACTTGTAAACAACTTTACACTCAGAAATAAGGACAGGGATTATCAGGCATATGAGAAAGGCTTCTAATGTAAAGGACAGAGAATGGGCAGAAAAGCAAATGAGAGAAAACAGAAACAATGAAGAAAACAGAATTAAAAATCAACAACAAAAACCAACCTGTGACTAATACCCTCAGGAAAATATTCTATCAATTAGTAATAGGATGCTATTGAAATTTTAATAGAACAAAATACCATCTTATATGTTATTTAACTTACATATTATGAGCTTAAAACGTTGTTCTAGCCACGGTAATCACAAAGAAAATAAACACATACAGAGGAAAATGAGAAAAAAGGAAATATCCACTGACCAAGTGGATAAAGAGAGGGTAGCATATACATAGACTAGAATACTATTTAATCATTAAAGAGAAAAATCCTATTATGAATGAGATTTTTCTGCAAAGAAACCATACCTAATACTGAACCCTGTAAAAGGCTGAAAACTCCAATGACTGTGGAGAGGTTGGGATGATGCAGGCCCAGGGCCTATCTTTAGCCACCCTTAATATTCATTCCTTGCCCACATCTGTGTCTGACCCAACACACTTGTGATTAACAAGTGAAATCTTGTGAAATGTATGAACAGACCACTAGCTTCCACCCACCAAAATGCTAAGAATGTCATCAGAAAGCATATGAGGTCTGTAGCAGTGGTTTCTCCAACTTGCTGTAACCCACCTACCTGATGTTTCCACCAATATACTTGAAAACACCTTGATTTATGATTTTCTTTGTTCTTCTGTTACTATAAAAAGTCATTAAACTGTTACCATCTTGCAGCATGGATTGTGGGGTAACCTGAATTTGTATTACCAGGTCATAGTTACTGATATCTGGCTCAAAAATAAACTATCTTTTATCCTTTTTGAGGTAAAAGTTATGTTTTTTGTTTTCCATTAACACTATCATATGCTATGACACACAAACTTTTATGAGCACATGCTCAGTGACTGAGGACAAATATTCTATTATTTTACTTAGACAAAGCATTTAAAGTAGTCCAAGTTATTGAAGCTAAAAGTATAATGGCGGTAAGTTACTGGGAGGGGAAAATGGGGGAATTGCTTCAGTCATAGAAGAGAAAACCCTACAAACCTGCTATACAACACTATGCTGAGGCCAACATCACTGTTTGGATCCTTAAATCTTTCATAGAAAGGCAGATCCAATGCACTCTTTAAACAATACAAAAAGGATGGGAGAAGGAAAAGTTATTTAACATAGTTTTCACTTTAAAAATTAGGAAAGACTTTACACTAGAACAGAGAATAGCCAGGAAATGACTGATACAGTTGCTGAAATATATGAAGAAATACATTAAACATTATTAAAAGTTACTTTGTAGTGGAATCTTTAGCTCTAACTCTTAACCTTAAAAAGCAATGTGAGACTAAAAATTAAGCCCAATACACAGCAGAAGATGGCCAACACAGAACAAACCTCAATGGTATGACTGTAAATTTTTTGCCCCATTATTGCTTTGTTTGGGCATTTTTAAAAAATTGTGCTGGGCTTTTGCTTATATATTATGGTTTCTGATTTTGTGGGGTTTTTTTGTGTGTGGTATATGTGTCTGTGTGTGCATTTCTTGTGCCTTTTCTTTTCCTCTGGTTTGCTTATTTACCTGTTTGTTTCCTGGAAGGAGAGAAAGAAGCCATAGAGTTGGATGGGTGGGGAAGATCTGGGAAGATATGAGAGGGAAAACTGGGATCAAAATATATTGTATGAAAAAGATGATTTTCAATAAAAAATAAATCGAACAGGTTCTAAAGGGGAGAAGGAAGTGTGTGAGAATGGACCCCAAGCTTCTCAGCAATTAGAAAAGATCCACAGTGACTGTTCCTTCTGATGAATACATTTTTATTTTTCAGTATTTAAAAATAGTATTTAATGTGTCAGTGTTGTGTCTGCAAGTACGTGTGCCATGTGCATGCAGTGCCTAAGGAACCAGAAGAGGGCATCAGATCCCCTGGAACTGGAGTTGCAGACTGTTCTTCAGGTGGATGCTGGGAATCAAATCTGGGTCCCCTGAAAGAACAACCAGTGCTCTAACTGCTGAGCCATCTCCCCAGCCCCACGATAAAAATAGTTTCTAAAAATAAAAAGGACTTCTGGTCAAGAACTTGGCTTAGCGGGTGTTGGTGGCACACACCTTTAATCCTAGCACTCAGGAGGCAGAGGCAGGTGGATCTCTGTGAGTTTGAGGCCAGCCTGATCTACAGAGTGAGTGCCAGGATAGCCTCCAAAGCTACAGAGAAACCCTGTCTCAACCCCCCCACCCGCCAAAAAAAAAAAAAAAAACAAAAACAATATAGTTTCTGATCACTAGGAAACCAGCATGGAACTGATCCAGACCCCATGAATGTGTCAAGGAGTAGGCCTCGGAAATCTATGGGGCCTCTGGTAGTAGGTCAGTACTTATCCCTAGCATAGGAATGGACTTTGGGAGCCCATTTCACATAGACGGATACTCCCTGAGCCTAGAAACACTGGGGAGGGCCTAGGCCCTATCTGAAAGGATATGACAGACTCTGAAGATGCCCCCATGGAGGGCCTCATCCTCCCTGGGGAGCAGAAAGGGGATGGGATAGGTAGTGGGGGGCAGGGGAGGGAGAGGGAACTGGGATTGACATGTAAAACAAGCTTGTTTCTAATTTTAAAAAATGGAGAAAAAAAATAAAAGTTGGCTTAGTGATGGGGAAAGTAATATGAGCCACCGGCAAGGAGGGATGCCAATAAGGCGTCCGATAAGTCTTATAAAATATATAGATTTATGATAATTGGGACTGAGCTAACAGATGAGAATCCTAGTCATTAGCCAAGCAACATTGAACCTAATACAAGTCTCTCTGTACATTAATTGGGGCCCTAACTCGGGCAGACAGCTGGCATAAAGCGTACACATGGCGGTGGGGCTTGGCAGCTTTTGGCAGAAAGATTTATCATAACAGCTTTAGTTCTTTCTTGGTTCCATGTTCTCTGGGGGGCAAAAATACACATACATACCTATACATGTATGTATCTACAAGATACATATGTATTTATACCACATATGTACATAGAGAGACATGCAGATATTGGGAGGCCCTAAAATAAAAGAAGCATGCTTATCAGACAGAAAATCAGAATTTCCTGCTATCACTGTGGAAGACGTAGTTTTGATTGCACATTTTGAACTTTATATAGTTTCTACCCTTTGGATTCATTTGTAACTATCCTTGTAAAAAGCATTATACATTTGAGTTTATTTTTCAGAACAATTTTAGAATTATAGAAAAATGGAGATTAAGTATAATATCCTTATGCTCCATATTCAGTTTCTGACTTAATTAACATCTTATATTAGTATGTTATATTCATTATAATTAATAAACTAATGTTGTTACATTATTATGAAGAAGAGTTCACTATTTACATTTTCTTAGTTTCTATCTAATGTTATTTTTCTGTTTAAGACATCTTCAAGGCTACTGCATTTCTTTTAGTTGTCATGTATCTTGAAGCTCCTCTTGGCAATTTTTTCAGATTTTCCTCATTTTTCATGATCGTGAAAATTGCAGGAATACTAGTCAGATATTTTTTTATATGAAAGCCCATTACTAGATTTTTTTTCTGTTGCT